ATCAAAACCATAACATTTGTATTTACGTGTTGTGATCTGATGTCACTTGAATATGCTGAAATATTTTAGAGACTATGAGACTATGTTAAAACCACATAGGTCAATTACAAAATGTAAGTGTCCAAACCCAGTTAAGGCAATAAAAGCAGAACAGTTACAGATCACTGCACTGATGAAAATAATTCGTTTTAATTCATAATTGTGCTTATAAATATGCCTGTTATGTTCAAAACTAAAATTATGTTATAAATGTGCTTACCTCCCAAATGTAGAGTCAGCGTCTGGAGAACGAGGAAGAGCAACATGTTTTCAAGAAGTAGAAAGAAGGAAAATCTTCACAATGAAGCAAAGCAAGCCAGCATCACTGGGGTGAAATTAAAATGTATTTGGGGTTAAAACTGTCATTTGCAAATGCTAAAGCCTACATAACAATGAAATGTCATTAATATGGGGTCTACTTGAGAATTTCACATTCGCGAGATATGTCTCAACTAGAGCGTAGGAGTCTCTCCTTTAACATTTCTGCAGGTAAAGAGGGGATGGCAAAATGTGTAAAACGTTTTCACAAAATAGGTCCCAAGTTACAACCGTTTAGAGAAAAGAAAAATATAATCTTCTTCAGTCATGACTCTGCTCGTTCCCATTCCCAACGTGCGTTTTCCAAGTTGCTGACTTGTGCGTAAAGTCCGTGGCATTGTCAGGATATCCTCCAAGGTATGCAACCTGCGTTGTGGACATATTCTTACAAAAAACTAAAGTCAAAACATAAGTCAGGCTCTTCATCGAGAGCAAGACAGCGCTGTCTAGTCCGCGTGGTAAAGTCCAAAACTGTGGCGGAAAGCAAGTCAGCGCGCGTAGCTCTTCCAGACTATTGCTGCAAACTGGACAAATACTCTCTAGGCAGCGATGCTTCAATGGAGTTCAGTGAAAATAGCAGCATCCATCACTCCGTCTCTGTGGAGGTAAAGGCTACAGGCTACAGTTTGAGAGCTCACCCACTGTCGCTCTATCCACTGTGCAAGCAGAGAAAGGCAGGGGGACGAGGAGAAACCCAGACTGGTGACAACACCTGACACGTTTTTCGAGTGGGGCGTTAGAAAGGGGAAAAAAAAGGATTTTTAGACAACCAAACTGAAACAACATAGAAAGTTCTTCCTGGCTCTTTAACGATCCCCCTTTAGATATGTGTTCAAAATATAGTCTATGTAATGTATGCTATACGCAAGTTAATGTAGTAAAATACGCTGGAATGTTCTGTTCAGATATTGGCCCCCTTTTTGTTTTTAAAGAAATGAACAACTTAGAAAAGTTTTATTCGGACATTTTCCGTAGGCTACAGTTCCTTATATACCTTATTCTCAAGCTCTAGCGGCCCCTTGTGGCAGAGATGTTATTGAGACCTTTTAAAATACAGGCTAATAATACAAAATCTATTTTTATATTAGGGATAATTAAAAATAAATAAATAAATAATGTAGACTATTATGCATGTGGGAAAATGTGTGTATTTTTTTAATGTTTTCTACAGTTTGTATTTCTAGCAAAATAAATTATGGATTTCTCAACACTAATTGCTCATTATAATCACCAAAACACAGAATTTCTCCCTTTCATTTGCAGAGAGACAGATGGCGTTAATAAAAAAAAAAAAGTTAGATAGAAATGTAAGTAAAAGGCTATCAATCATCCTTCATTTTCATACCAAGATCAAAACAAGCTGTATTTTAGTAATTAGGTACAAATTATTCAGATTTATCATAATCTGCCGTAGATTTGCATCCACAACTTCATAGTGTTGACTGAATTTAAAATCTTGCTCTAAACTCAAGATCATGTCTCCCTAATTGATAAAACAGTAGTTCCGCAAATCCATAGCCTTCTCACAGAATTTATGAAACTGGATTCTTGGGCACATCCTCTCAGTGTTTTTTTACATCTGCAAAAGTCATTAGTGTTACAAGGCAAAGTTTTGGGGTGCAGAGTGTGGAGCAGCAGTAATATACATCACTCACAAAAGCTGGGAGTTGTCTAAAACCAGCCTCTCTAGAGTCAACTTCTCAGACAAATCCCTTGAAACCCACGCAATGATGAGGGCCGTGCAACTGAGCGGGTGCCAGACAGAACTCTGCTGGTTTAGGTTACACTGTCTGGTCCTGCAAACCATTAAATCTGAGCTATACTTCCCCATTCTACACCTGTTAAATCCATTTTCGATGGCCTATAAACTCTTTATCTTTCCTCCATGCAATTTAATAAAGTAAACAAAGTCTCTATCTTAATATATGGTGTGACTGTGTATATGGGAAGTGGAAAAGTTGCGATAACATACCTCCAAAGTTCACAATGTAAGTGTAAGGTCTGACTTCTTTCATGTTTTTATGAACAGAGCAAAAAGTGAAATGCTAGATTACTAAATCTTGTGCCTACCTATACCACTACTAGCACATACATCTTCATCCATCTATTCACGTCCTCTTCTACAAAGTATGCATTTATCCAATGTATTTTCCAGTGAAGTGAACTTGAAGCAGTTGGTATACTTATCTTACTTTCCATCTCTTTTGTATACTGTGTCATAGTTCCCAGAGATTTTTTTATTTTTAATTGCAAAGCCAATGCTACTGCATTGTATGTACAAGCACACCAGAGGCTGTCCTTCTGCTGTTCCAGTCCATCACCTTTTACCCTGGTTTTAGTCCCTGAGGTGTGTAGTACCTATGCTCTCCATTACACATAATAATAAATAGTCTCAGGTGTATTTATTGGGTTGTATCTTTCATCCATGACCTTAAGCGCCCTCAAAAGGCCCAAATTCGTCACAAACGTTCACTTTCCTGCCCGGCCTATCTGATGTATGATAGCATTAATAATAACTGCACATGAATGCTCCGTCATTGCCCACTGTATCTATGCTGCTTTGGCTATTTCCTGTCCTTTGCAGATTACCAGTGGCCATTCACTGACCATTAAAAGATCCATTTACTTATCATGCTCTGGAGCCATCATTCTGGTTTTCAGTCTGATCCTCTGAGGGAAAGTCAAAAAGTGACCTTTATATGAGATGAGATGCCATAAAAGTTACTAGTTCACAATGCAGAAGTGTTCCATTTAGCCTGTAGACTTTTCGTAAAACAAAGAGAAGTGCTCTGCTAAAATGAAAACTAGGGGCCATTTATAGAGTACACTTTGTCCCCAGAAGAAAAACTACAGTAACAGACATAGACTGCATAAATAACTATCTTATGCTAGCAGTAAAAGGAGCCCACATCCAAGCAACCATGGGACTTAGCTGACACCTGTGAGATATAGCTATTCCATTACTTGTCACACTCATTCAGTACAGTACAGATAAGAACAGTTCCTCCCATACAAGCTGGTCTAGGATTGGAGAAGTCAAAGCAGTGCAGATGTATATTTGACTTATAAACCATGGGATGGCTATTTGACATAATATTTTCTGTTTAACATGTCATTGCATTAATTAGGAAGACTGTAGGTTAAGTGCACATATAATGTAATTAACTTTGATTCACAACTAAACAATCAGAGTCATATAAATGGACAAGGTGAACTCTTTATTCTCTCCTTTACACAGACAGTTATTTCTTATCAGCCCCAATGTGCTGTGGTCTACTCTGAGTGTGCTTAACTTCTCCTGACCTTTAAAAGGGATGATTATTTTCATCCACAATCTTCACTGTGCAATATGCCGTCAGCACAAAAGGATATTGGCCCAGACCTGCTGCTCTGATAATTCCCCTCTCTGAATGGAGCAAAAGGAAACCAAAGCAAAAAGCCTTGTCACTTTATCATCCCTGACCCTTCTTCCTCTTCATCAGTATTTTGTCAAAGCAAATTGTGAGACTTCAACTTAAATATTTAAGTTGTTTTTTGTTCAACTTTGGAAAAAGTGTTAGAATGTACAGTGTATCACATTTTTGCTGGCTACTCAGGGGGGCAATTTACAATGAAAAATGTATGTTACACATTTCACTTTATAAAAAATAAACAATACATTTTGAATGTTAATTTCAATTAATTATTGTTTGTAATCTGCTAAGTTTTGTGTGGGTCACATCTGTCACTAGAAGAAAGAGTTGCTGTGCCTCTCTTTTCCCCACACCTCTACAGCAAATATGAACCAGATAAACAATAGCCTTGTTTCAAGAGAAGCTTAATATGACCAGCAGTTATAAGTAATTTTGCTGCCATTCTTATATTATTGATGGATGAGATCTAAATGTAATAAAAGAGGCAATAAGGCTTTTATCTTGTCTCTATTTTCCACTCTTTGCAACCATCCTTCTCCACATTGGAACATGCAAAAATAAACAGGCTAAATAAATTGCCTACAAACATGTTTTGACAAAGCTATCTTATGATGTCCTGGTACAATACTATGTGAAACAATAGGCTAATATAGGCCTGCCAATACTATTCTGATATATTTTGAAATATTGTATTCGGTGAAGCAAGATTTCTGCAAAGAGGCCCTTCAACTGTATACTTAGGTTATATCCTGATACTATAGCTGCTGTTTATGTTAACTCAGAAGCTATAGAAAAAGCCAAGGATAGAATTGTATCCTAAAGATACAGTCAATGGTTCTTTATCAAGCACTGTTGAGTGACTTTTTGAAAAGATAAAATGTTTGGCTATATCTGTTGAAAAGTCTTGTTTCATATAATAGGAAGCTGAACCCATGAATGACCGACAAAGCCTGCACTATGCACTGCTGACTTGCACTACAGTAATTTTGTGCAATTCTACTGCCATCTTCAGGCCGAGCGTGCGCACAATTCATTTATTTTTTATTTTATTTTATTTATTATTATTATTTATTTTTTTTTGACATTTTCTACACTTTCCATACAGCCTACATTTCGCATCACCATTCAAACATTTTGAATTGAACAATGGTTTGATTAATCAGGGTAGCCACAAGCCGTTTAAAGTAAAAAGGTCTACGTCATCTTTTAATGGGCTACGTGGTGCTAAAATAAGAACTGAAGAGTGCCAAGAGTGCAATGAATTCTAAAGCTGCTCATCTGTCTCCAAATTTGTAAAGTTGGCGTTTATACCTAACAATAATTTTACTGTTCTGACTGTGTACTATTCCCACCAAATTAACCACAAAGCGGAACATTTATATCACATGCTGCCCTGTACACCAAGGGAACCAAAATACGGACGGAACGAATAAGGTCCTTCTGTCAATCGTTTCACTCGTTCACGCCACATGCAAGAAAGAAGAAATAACTAAACACAGCGTGAGTTAATATAATAGTTTTCCTCTATATCCACTGATACGCTGAGCTAGTAACAAAGTTTGTTGACAATGGTGCTTATAATTGAACCATTAATGAATTTGTACGAGCGTTTGAGATTTCACGGAGCATTTTGGAAAAACGTTGACGTTCAATAGCTTAGTTAAATGTAATTTACTTTCAAGTTAGCTTCAAGATTGAGATATTTATGTTTGTGGTTTATGTTTGTGATTTTGTTGTATATCCCATTTGACGTTTTATTGAATTACTGATGAATTACTGAATCATTTAATATGCTACAATTTGTATTTATAGAAACCTTTTTGAGTTAAGTGAAAAAAAGTGCCATGCCTTTCCTCCACGGATTCAGAAGAATCATCTACGAGTACCAGCCACTCGTGGATGCTGTTATGTGTGCTGTTGGAGTCAGTGAAGGAAATGACAATCAAGTAGACAGGTATTAATAACTTGGTAACACTGTCAGTGCCTCTCAGAAAATACATTTTCTATCTTTTCATGTGTGATTGTGCCATCCTATGTAGTTATTTTACTCTAGGTGTGTAAACAGTTCTTTATATGCAGCGGTTAGCTACACAATACACAGTAATACTGTTGTATTGCAATATTTCAAAAAGGGAGTAGCTAAACGGCCTCAAGAGATGGAGGACCAAGATAAAATGGGTGTGACAAGAAATTATTGGGCACATATGGACAAAACCTCAACCCAAACATGTTATTTTTAAGAATAATACAATACAATACAATACAGCAATCCAGATTTTTTATTCTGTTTATGCCGTCTTTTTTGTCTTTTGTGCCCAGACGTAGCCCTGAAGAGGAGAGCCGCTTGAGCGCTTCTCTAGAGGAGCTATTACAGCGGGAGTTACACTCCGAAGTGTTTAATGAAGGCATCAGCTATGCTTTATATAAAATGGCAGAGCAGGGTCTGATATATCCTGCAGAAATCTTACTACGTTATGGGGCTGATCTTAACTTTGAAGGTAACAAACTGGTATTTTATCTGTTGTATGTGACAATTCCACAGTTCCAAATCAAATAGTTTTAATATAATATAATAATGCAATAATATAATATAAGAGCTGGATATTGCTAAGAACCTCATAATACAGTCTCTGTCCTGATGCATATATAGCCCTAAAATAGGTCTCAAGTCTAAAGTTAACTAAAGTTATGTTTTTATGATGGCATTGAGATTCCAAATTCCCAATATTCTTAATATTGGAACAGAATCGACCAATTAATAACTTTCTTTTCAGCTCAGCAGCTTAGGCCTAGGTCAGTCAGCAAGTATTTAAGTGTATAACTCTGTCATACTGAATTGATGTGATTTAAAGTACAGCGATAAAGCGTATTGTATCACCACGTGTAGTGCTTAGAAGTCTGTGACAATATATTTTTGTATCAATACTTTGAGTACATCTCTGTATGTTAAGAGTATTATGTACCTATTAGAGCATAAATTGGCTGAACATTTTGCTTTTTCTCTGGCAGACTAGGTTGGTGTGACCTCTGCTAGTTGTCAACATTGTCCTCAAAGTGTCTTCAAACAAGTGTTGCTTCAAACAAATGCCACCCATGTATTTCATTGGGAATTTTATTTATTTTTCTTTAATATTTATTGATATTTATTTATCCTCTTTGACCTAAATATCTTCTCTTTTCTGGATTACAATCATTCAGTTTGTTTTATTTATTTTACTTTTTTATTTTTTTATTTTTTCCTATCTCCAGACCCTGTTTCGTACTACAACCCACTGCATATTGCTGTTTTAAGAAACAAGCCAGACATGGTAAAGCTGCTTGTTGGACATGGAGCAGACATTGAAAAGAGAGATAGGGTAAGTCACAGAGAAATTCATCTCAAAAAAGACATGTATTTAAAATCACTGTTAATGTTGTTTTATTCTTGGTAGATCCATGAGAGCAGTCCCTTGGATCTTGCATGTGAAGAATCAGAAAGACTGTCCTGCCTGCTCACATTGCTGGATCTGGGTGCTGATGTCAATGCAAGAGACAAACATGGTAAATTTTTGTTATTATAAGACAACATATATTTGTTTCATTCTTGTTAATTCAAAAGTTGTTTTGTTTTTGCTTTTTTTGCAGGAAAAACACCACTGCTTCATGCATTAGCTAGCAGCGATGGACTTACTGTGAACAATACAGAGAATATTAAGCATCTACTTCAAAGAGGTAACGTCAACTATTTCTGTGGATTTTAATACCAGCTGTTAAGTTAGGTATAATTTTTACATACTTATATAATAATTTCACATACTTTTAAATTAGTCTAGTATTTTGTATGTTAGTAGCCAAATACAAAAATATCAGGTAAATTGAAGATTTCAATTGTGTTAATGGACTAAGAAGTTTTTTATGGTGAATACAATTTTCACTGTTAAATGGGTTGTCGGGATGAATAAAGCATCCCTTAACTCTCCCTGTTCTCTATCTGAGTAAAACCACTACCTGAAATAATTATCAGGACTGCAATCTTGTGGCATGACGTTTCCAGTCTCGTTCAGGAAAATGACACATCACTATTTGCAAACAAGAACCTAGCAATGGTTTTCATTCCTTGATAATTGTCATGGCAGAGCTGCCAAAACACATTGCTTGAATATTAAAGTGGTTGAGCAAGTGATCCAGCAGGAATCAACTGGACCTGTGGTTAACAGTGTTTTACTCTTAGAATTTTAGGGGGAACAAGAATTAGAAGTCACAGCCTTTGTAAATGCACATTTACATGTAGTCTGGCCTAATTTATCTGTGATCAAATCTTTTTTGTGAATATCATGCTTTAGACATATTATATAAGGAGACATATTATGCAAAATCTACTTTAATGAGCTTTTAACAGTGTTGTTGAGTTTTGCCTCATCATTATCCAGCTCAGAGTTGATTGATGCATGCATGTTTATGTAGTTTTGCATTTGGATCTTGATTGCTCAGAAAATGTCTATCAACTGTCATCTACCCCCGTTCCTTCCCGCTGCCCTGTTTTAACTTGCAATTATTAAGTTAGTCTATAGGTCATCTTCTTGTTTTAATAAATTCCAGCAGGCTGTATGCGACAGTGTGCAATGCTGCCCTCCACTGTTAGAAGATGATAACACTAGATTTTTGAATGCAGGCCTAGAGGTTTTCTGTCATACACCAAGATTTTGCATTGCTATTTTCAAAAAATTGCATCACCATAAATGAAAATCCGTTGCTTGCTATGGTAAAATGTCACTATGAGAAGGCAGGGAAAGCATCAGTTCTGCAGTATTAAATAGGAAATCACTGGACAAGATTTTTTTTATCAAGATGTACAAAATAGCTAATAAACTGTTTTGTCTTCTCTATAGGTGCTGATGTCAAAGCTTGTACAGTCGATGGTGAGAGCGTTGAATCTGCTGTGGTTTTCTTGATAAAAGAAGCTATGGATGCCAGTGTGGAGGATGCGGCAGAAATTGGCAACTTCTGTCTGAAGACCACAGAGCTGCTTTTGGCCCATGGAGTGGACCCCAGCCTCTGTCTGAACGAGGAGGGTGAAGCCTCTTTAACACAGACCAGCCTGGACTTCTTTGACTTGCTCTTCCCTTTGGCGGCACTCATACTCCAGAGTGGAGCGTCTTTACAGTGCACATATCATGGAAACGAATGTTGGTCAGCTTACAATTCTGTTTTTGAGCGCCTCCACAAAGTTCTACAGCATTGTTCAGATCTGACTCGTGCCTCTGAACTCATGGAGCAAGCTGAGGCTTTGCTCACTTTAGCAAGGTTAAATACACCAATGCTCCGCTTGAGTCCTGATGTCCCAGTCCACGTTCAGGACACTCACCCATATGCCCAGGCTCTGGCAGACCTGCACCAGCGGGTCAAAGAGCAGGATTCAAACCCTCCTGCTCTACGTCATATTTGCAGGGCATTCATAAGAAGCCATCTGAAGCCCTGGCCATTGGAAGCAAGAGTCAAAGCATTGCCGTTACCAGACAGACTTAAAGACTATATTCTCTCTGAACAGAAATTTACTCTTTTTGCTGGTTGGGACCGCTTTAAGCCAGACCAGAGCCAAGAATGATTGTAAAAACAAAACACATTTTCACTAATCAGTATAGCTATGTAAAATCTTCACAATATGTATTTTTGTGGTAAAATATTTGTGAAGAAATACTTCAGACTTTTTCTGAGTAAGCTGAGCCTGCAGTATAAATTATTGCCACCAGATGGCAATGTTGTTCCTATACAGCATTATGAACTGGTTTTAGTGGTAGTCACAATTTTTGTTTCTTTGGGGACAGTTTAAGAGTTCTTAAATGTGCTTTGTTTATTTTCTTCATTGCCTAATAGAATTTCTGATTATTATACAGTGTTTTTTTTCCTGAAACGTTAATAAACCATTACAATTTCAGTGCTTTAGTACTACATTATCACGTTGGTTGAGTGCCATTTTTCTGATTAAACAACTTAAAACATTTGACTAAATAATTATACGTTTTGTAGGCAACATTCACTGTGAAAATATAGGAAGTTATGCGTTTTACGCATATGAGAACACAACTTGTAAAAACCTTAAATTAAACTGACCTAATCCAGCAATACTGCTATAAACAGTTTCTATTTATTGCAATAATTTTCTGCCATTTAGGGTTTGTACATTATATTCTAGGGGTGAAGTGTAAACTAAATAGGACATTGTGTTACACAACTAACCCCTTCCTGACATTGCTGGCGCTGGAGTGGCTCCAGGCTTGCAGGCGCTCAGCTCCTCTTGGTTATCTAGGTCACAGCCTCTGAGGAGAAGAGCCGAGCAGCAGCAGCAGCAGCAGCAGCAGCAGCCCTCTATGACACACGCTTCACTCTCCTGTCTGTCTCAATCTACGGCATATTCTTGACAAAACCTCAACACTGCCCGCTCCAGCAGGGAAGAGATGGGATGGAGAGTGGGAGGGGGCTGCAGGGGGGTAAAAGCCCTCATGTTAAAGATACAGCGGCGCATATGTGGAATGGTTATGAGAGCGCTCGTGGAGGACACATGGAAATAGAAATGACAATGTTGGATTACATTCATACAATACAGAGGCTGTAGAAACATAATCCAGACAATCACAGGAGTGGAAAGAAAGTCTTCTTCCACTGAGTCCAATCCTTGCCGGAGAAGGTGATAGAATAGAGATAGTGGGGGAGGGCTCAGCCACCATTCTCCATCCAGCATTTATTGGAAAACAGTGTGAGTGAAGCTCGCAACTGAAATTAGTTATTGATCTATTCTCTCCCTGAAGCCCACGGGTCTTTCCCACCGCACCTGCACATTCTCAGAGCCCTTTCCTTCACTGCAGCAGCCCATTGTGGTGTTCTGCCCTTACTCGGGGTTGCTTGTTTATTTTTTCTTGAGAATGGATATGGCCTACTAACAATAGGTGGATCATTCAAGTGTGTGTACACTTAATTTAATGTAAACCCCCCATCTAATTTACAAAGTATTATAGCATAATATATGCTATGCTCGGCGACCATGCAAACTGACTATGAATCCGGTGTATTTAGTAAGCAGTTGAAGCAATAACTAAGTGGAAGTTTCTGCTCTGATGTATAGGCATAGGCCTACATACAGGTCTTGTCCATGTGCCCCAGACCTGTGACTCGGCGCTGTCTTTAAACCACAAGCAGCCTCTTCTGGCCCATGTCAGTGATACATTGTGTAGATTTTTAAAGAAGAGTTTTAAACAGCCGGCCCCTTCTCTCACTAAGACTTGTTTTGCCTGTACACTGGGATGCCTTAAATGCATCATGTAGGACATGCTAAAACTATAATATATTGAAATAAGATCTCACTGTGTGTCAGTAGAATACAGCTCCTCCTCCTGTCATGCTCTCAGTGAGTTACAGGCAGATTTAACCAATCTATTCTGTTTATAGAATATTCTATCTAATCTATTTAACCAAGTACAAAGTCTTGACAGAAGCTAATTGCATATTCTCTAGTGACAATATAAAGCTACAAAGTGTGCAGCAGTACAGTTGTGAACCTATCTGCTTGCTGTTCAGTTTGTCAATATAAAATCTTAATTCTCATATGGACTCCTAAATAACTCAATTATCTTATGATAGTTCTTCGGTTATTGTTAAACGGAGAAATTATACTAAGATGTTGTTTGAGTATTTCCCTGTTGCCCTGGATTCGAGTTTGGGTGCTTAGAAAATGTCTGTTTTGTTGAACCTTCACTATCTCCCAATCTCTGCCCATAATCTCATACATATATATATATAATTTAGATTTTTATTTGTTGGGTTTTATTTGTTGGGTAAAATATAGCAATTACCAGGGTCTCACCCTGATGACTGGCTTGAGTTGAGTGGGTGCCTGAAGGAGCATTGTGGGGCCATCGTAGCTGCCACCTGTTGGAGTCACATCCCTTTTGGGATGGCTTTTGGGACTTCTAAGGCAGAAGAATCTACAGGTGAAGTGGGCTACAGTCAAAGAAGATGTGGAGCAAAACATTCAGATGTGGGTTGTGTTTGTGGACTATTAATCAGCCTGGAAAACCATCTATCACCACAGAAGCGGGTAAGAGTGCTCTACCAACACTGGTGTATCTTCCACTGTGGAAGCAGTACGCCCATCTTCCAAGTTGCTACCATTGTGCTGGTTGGAAAGCTCCTTGGTGGTAAGGAGTGGGGGTGGATGAGATCCCTCAAGAGTATAAAAAATCTGTAGATGTTATGGAACTGTCTTGGCCAACACATCTCTGGATTGGCAGACTGGATTGGTGGTCCAGAGACTGTGTGTGAATTACAGTGGGCTCCAGGGCCGAACTGGGACCAAAAAACAGCCGTATGGCTGTTCTGGATTTTTCTGGAATGTACAGATTGCCAGCCCGCCCCTGTTGGTTTCATACTTTTCTGCCTCCGTTAAAAAGTGTTTTCCAGGGTAAAATTAAGCCATAGTTCACTACCAAAACATAATGGCTTGTCCTGTCCAGTTTGGTGAGAAGCTCCTGCCTTAGATAGAAATGTATCAGTGTGTCTTGTTGTGATGGAAGACTGGAGCAGGAGATTGACAGGTGGACGAATGTGACAACATTGGATTGTTGTGGTGATAAAGAAGCTGCGTTAAAAGGTAAACTCAGCTTGAAATATCTGTCAGCCTATATTCCTACATCCACGTACAGTTATGAGTGCTGGGTCATGACTATAAAGAAACACAAGAAAAACAAGAAAATGAGTTCCCTCTACAAGGTGGCCATTGCTATTTTGGAGATAGGGTAAAGAAAGCAATCTATTGGGAGGAGCTCTGAGTAGAACTTTTTCTCCTAGACATTAAGCAGAGTCATTTGAGGTACTTAAGGCATGCACTACCAGTAGGAAACCAAGTATCAGCAGGTGAAATGGACCACAGTAGGAAACCAAGTTTACTGTTCCCCGTATGGAACAATAAAGCATTTGATCCATCCTTCAATGCTGGTGGAGCATCTTCTCAGGAGTAGTGAGCACCATAGTGTAGTGCTCGGGGACCCAACTCTGTGATCTTGTTTCTCTTGGTCAGGACTACCTTAGCTGGAGGATTTTACCTATTGTGCATGTTTTGGGTTGCTGGGGGATGAGCGATTAAGTGAGCTAAAAAAAAAAAAAATGAAATAGGCTTTGAATTAATTCAAGACCTCACTTGGTGCATGTCACCAAATGGATCAATGTCTGTTATACACATAAATATCAGACCAGAGCCCTTCATTTACCCATGAGCATTTTCCTTGATGAATGGAAATGTGATCATTTATATCTAAAAATGTTTGTTTGTTTTTTTTTTTTCAGTATTATTGGAGTTTGTACTTTCACTGACATCAGTTTCGCCACTAGCAACATTGTCAGTATCATCCCAGTGCAGTAGTGAATCTTCGTGCCTTTCCCTAGACATTCACTAGACATTGTCTAGACATGGGATAATTGCAGACATCACTGAGCACTCAGCTGCTGCAAAGGCCTCATGGGACCCGAGGTGGACTTGAGGCAAATGGTCAATGGTGTGGGGGTCACTGCAGCAGTGTCCCACAGTGGAGATAGGCATGGCTGTTTGAATGTACTGTATGTGTCCACTCTCATGTCTTTGAGTACAGACACAGAAACATGAAGTTCCAAATGTTCGTAACCACAGATGTGGTGACATCATCTGAAAAAAATGTATGCCGGCCCAGGCTCCACCAATCTTGAAACATAGCACCAAGCTTGGTGATTCTCAGGCATATAAAACAAAGCTCTTGTTGATATTCACATGTTTTATTTGATGAAGTATTAGGTTTTCTTGTTTTCAGTGTTTTTAGAATGCAGTGTACATTTCCACACACTGGGCAGAGTGTACTGGTTACTGGTTGGTGAGTGAGAGATGGTCACAGGTCGCTGAGTTCACCAAGGCCCAGGACTAATCTCTTGGGGGAGGAGTAGAGCCAGAAGAAGCGGATCCTGTTGGGGCAGGCACCTTCTCATCCTGCACCAGGTGCTGTTCTGCCTTTAGACTGAGGCGCACTCACAGTTCTGTTTACGCACCTGTACAGGTTTATTCAGGTTTACACTTATCAACTTATCGTCCAAGCAAGTCTTTGTACTCTCACCAAGTCCAAATTCAAATGGTGATTTCACCATTTCACATTACTGAAGCATTTTATATATATATATATATATATATATATATATATATATATATATATATATATATATATATATATATATATATATATATATATATATATATATATATATATATATATATATATATATATAATATTATTTATTTATTTTTTTACCTGTTATTATGCACAACATTGATGCACAACAAAATTTAAGAGTTCTTCCAAAATGTTCCACAACTTATATTTTAAAACACAAATAAGTGTCTACATTTTTACAACTGACGCCATTTCACAGAAATTCCAGACAACTGGCGCCTTAGCTCTGCCTTCAAGAAGGACATGATGAATAGGACACACCCTTGGTATGCTAGTGAATGCTAGAATATATGGCACACTGCAGTGCTTCAGCGTAGATTCATTACTGCCTTCATGCTCCTAGCTCTTTTCACTTGTGTTCTGTGTGCTTGCTCCCCTGCGCTTCACGCTGCTGCCTATTTTTAAAAGGCTGAATTTGAGTGAAATACACTGAGGCACCAGCAAGGCGAGCTACAGCTCTTTCCAGCGCTCGTTCCTGATCCTCCTCTTTGTTGTGGTCTATGCATGCCTCTTCTAGTCACATGACTCTGTTTCTATGGCAACTCGGGTTTGAGTAATCATTTGCGTTACGACCTTTATTCCCTTGAGGAAAGGGGAGGGGGAGGTTAGACTGAGCCTGTAGAAAGAAGGAGCAAGAGCGAGGAGAAAAGATAGGCAGAAGGGGAGCGGTGCAGAGGCAAAGGCAAAGAAAATAGGCAAAAACAACTCAG